TCCTGGACCTAATACTTAATAAATAAGGAAGAACTGATCAGAGATGTTAAGGTCAGGGCAGTGACCATGAGATGATGGAGTTCGGGATCTTTAGAGGATGGAGCAGAGCAAAAAGCAGGACCACAGCCCTGGATATCAGGAGAGGAGACTTTAGCCTCTTCAGGGCTCTGCTTGAAAGAATCCCATGGAGAGAAAAAGGGTCCCTGAGAGCTGAGTTGATATTGAAGGATAACCTCCAAGGTCAAGAGTGGTCCATCCCAACAACCAAGAAATGGAGCAAAGGTGGCAGGAGACCTGTATGGATGAGCAAGGAGGTCCTGACTAAATGTAGACATAAGGAAGGCTGCTGTACTCGGTGCACTCTTGTGGTCAGAGCAGCCTTCAGGAATACCAGGCCCCTGAGACCAGAGGGAAAGTCTGGCTAAAGAAGACTTGAGGTAGAGGTAGACTCTTGTTAGAGGAGGATCAGGATAGGGAACATCTAAACAAACTGGACGTAAGTCCATGGGACCTGATGGGTTGCAGCCATGAGTGCTGAGGGAACTGGCCGACATTGTGAGACCACTCGGTTATCTCTGAAAGACTATGATGGTTAGGAGAGGTTCCTGAAGACTGGAAGAAAAGCTAATGTCATGTCCATCTTCAGGAGAGGCAGGAAGGAAGATTCAGGGAACTACAGGCCGATCAACCTCACCTCAGTTCCTGGAAGGTGATGTCTCTGTGTCTTTTTTCTTCTGCCTGCTTGGATTCTACGTGGCCTCTGTAGGGAGCCTTTGGTGCGGGATGTTGTTCAAGCCTTCTGGAGTCCAGGCAGACTGGTTTAGCTCAGTCTCCCCTTTCGGAATGCTCGTTGGCTTTTCAGACTCTTGTTCATGTGCTTGGTGCCTTGTCCGCTGCTTTCCTTTAAAAAAGCTGTACTGCCTGGTTTTTTCTCTGCTTTGTTGTGCTTATACATGTGCTGCTACTTCTTTTTGAGTTTACAATTTGTTGTGAATACCTGCTCCCTGGTTGACTGAGCAAGTCCAGTAGGTTGTGGAACTTTGATTTTGCAGAAGTCATATCGGTTCTTCCGCAGTATGACTCTTATTCGTGTGCCCTGTAACTGTTGTTCAGGTTAATGCCTGCTGTGCTGCCATGGACTTCAGAGTTCTGTGACAGGTAGTTCCTGCGTTAGAAACTTGTATGGCACGAGCTGTCTTCTAATTCTCTAGTACAAAATGAACTCCAAGTGGCAGACTACGTAAAATACTGATTGTTTTAGTTCAAAAAGCACGCTTTAGAAAGCCGGTAATACTTTCTAAAGTGATGGTTTGTTACTGCTGGTTTTGTTGATCCATTCTACGATACTTTCAACTGATGCTCAAGTGCAGAAATCCCTTAAAGATTCCTCTAGTGCAAATACTAGTAAAGTAAAAAAACCCAAAGATATGTTTTCACTGCACTTTTTTAGGTGATTCTTCTACCTAAACTGATGGGCTTGGGGCCACAGGCTCTCATGTATGCCTTTTTCATGAGCAGAGCAAGGGTAATTACTTTCTACACCATTCATAAGTTGCTCTTAGAACTTAATTTTCTGGCTTGCTGTGTTGTATTGTGATTAACAGAATTCATGATCTGTGATGATACTCTGATGTTGTGGAAACCAAAATCTAAAGAGATTTACAAAAGGATTAGACAAATCAACAGTATTTGGTGACTACTAGGTTTTGATGCTTGGAAGCAATTTTTAGCTCCAAACTTCTTTTTTTTTTTTTTTTATTTTTAGAAGCTGGGAGTATATGTGAGTGAAGAATCATTGTATGTTTGCCTTATTCTTTATATGCTTTCCCTTCAGCATTTGCTACCAGCTGCTCTTGTTACTGGCTTTCACTGGAACGATTGGCATAGGCTTTGAGGATGAGTTTGTATCTTTCTCAAATGTGAGGAGCAAGAGACACAGGTTGTGCTAACACAAGCAAAATGATGACAAACAATAAATAAAGGAAGCAATTTGAATAGATTGAATTTGAATTGATAGAAGATGACAAAAAATGGAGTCAGACAGGTTATCTCTTGCATCCAGCATTTTCTGGGAGTGTTCAAGGACAGGTAGACACTGTCTGGTAGCACTCAGCTCAGAAGTTGCCAGATGCATTTATTTACCCTTCTTCTCTTGTTGCGGTGGATACTGGCTGTTGTTTGTGTTGACTTTTTTGTTTGTTTGTTCAGAAGGGACATGTGAGGCTTATCCTAAGAGTACCTGCCTTGGTTTGCCAGCACCTTTTGAAGAATGTCTGGAAGTGTCACTGTACTAGAGACCAAACTGAATAGCAAATGTAAACTGATTAAAAAAGAGTGGGCAGAAGAGAGTCTGCGTAGTCAAAACAAAATCATAGGTGTGCACTAAACAGAGGCACTTTTGGATCTGTTCTCTGGAGATTTTGAGAGAGTCAGTAGACTCTTAAGTTCCTTCCACCAGAACAGAGGTTGGGGGGGTAACAATTTCAGGGAACAGAAATACTTTCCAGAATTTCTCTCGGTGCTGAGGTAGAAAGGTGCTTCCAGTGAATAACCATCGTGTTAAAACATGTCATACCAGGCTAGCGCAGCTGGGCTGGCACTGCTTGGTTTCTGTTGAGCCTACTGCTGCCTTGGTTCTGTATTCTCTGCTTGACCAGTGCTGAAAATAAACAAGATGTTATTTTTTTATGATCCAGAAAGACCATCTGGAACTGTCCTCCAGCTCAGTTTGATCATCTAGAACTTTACCAGTGTTATAATGTGTCCATATTCTCTTTGCATCCCCTTGATAAAAGTTCTGGTGAGGGTTTGTTTGGTTTGGTTTTGGGGTTTTTTTGTGGTGATTGAAGGTGTTACTGCTCCCAGCTGTCTGCTGGCTCCCTGTGATGCAAGCTGCAGCATGTCCTTAGGTCACACTTACTTGTCTGCTCGGGGCAGTAGCTTAAAATTCTGCTGAAAGTGACTTTTTGATTAATACTTTGGACTGTGAATTGGACCTGTGTGTTTCCTTCTCATGTTTGTTACTGGAATAAGAGCAGAGGTTAATGTGCTGCAGGAGAAAAATGCCTGCTAAGCTACTACAACTGGTTATGCTGTGAATGAATCGGTCCTTTCTAATTAAAGAAGTCTCTTTTTACCAACAGGTTCTGAAACAGCTTTCATCATGCAATTTTTAGCTCCATCTAGCTATATTGTCTCTGCACAGGAATTGCATTAAGTGTTTATTGTCTGTTCGGAATATTGTTGTTTTGATGATGTGAAGCTCTGTGTTATCAGTAATGCCTCAAAATCATGAATTATTTTACTACCTGTTGCAAGTATCACACCAGCAACACTCTTTTGTGACAGTATTCACAAAAGCCTGGGGAAAAAGGCTTTCTTCCTGTGTATCTTAACATGCAATTCCAGCTTATGCCATGGAGTGCTGGGAAGGGATTTGTCCTTGTGTCCTGCTGTGGTTTAGCGTGTCTCTGTGAACCTACAGCAATCCAGCCCGAAGTTCCTGGTAGGTGTCCTGGGGCAGGGGCTGTAGC